ATAGAACCTTCTTTAGCCTGCATGACGGCAAAACAAGTTTATCTTTGTTTCTAATATTAAAATTGTGTATATGACTATGTTTAATATAATTGTTAATATTGTTTCTAACATAAAGTATACAAATGTATATAAACTGGGAGGTCACTGTTAATATCCCAATTTCTTTGAATTTATCTCTAAGTGATGTTCTTGAACCCAATTGATGAATGGCCCTTACTGCTCTTTTTTGTAAAATAAATATAGACTCTTTATCTGCAGCCATACCCCACACTAGAATGCCATATGACATAACGCTATGGAAATAACTAAAGTATACTGTCCTACCGGTATTTACATCTGTAAGTTGCCTAATTTTTTTTTATTGCAAAGGCAGCTGAACTTAGTTTTCCTGCCAATAATGAAATGTGAGGATGCCATTGCAATTTAGAATCCAGCATTACACCTCAGAAGATTGTTGAATCAACCAACTCGAGCTTTTCATCATTAAGTTTAATTTCTGTAAGTTCAGCTTTTGCATTACGTAACATAAATTTTATACATTTCGTTTTTTTAGCATTTAACTGGAGATTATTTACAGTAAACCAGGTCATAATCTGTGAGAGAGCATTGTTAACATCGTCAAAATTATTTTTACATCTATCAATATTAAATATTAAAGAAGTATCATCTGCAAACAATACTATATCGCATAAAGTTTCGGCAAAAAATGGCAAATCATTTATGTAAGTTAGAAACAGAAAGGGACCCAGAATAGATCCCTGGGGAACTCCCATTTTTACTTGTGATCCAGATGATGACACACCGTTAATATCGATAGTTTGATTTCTGCAACTGAGGTACGACAATATTAGTTGTAGGGCGCAGTCTTTGATACCATAGTAATTTAGCTTCGTTACTAGTGTTCGATGCTCAACGCCATAAAATGCTTTGGATAAGTCACAAAATACTCCAAGAGCACTCTGTGACGCCTCCCAAGCTCTGAATATATGTTTAAGAAGTGCTACAGCAGCATCAGCAGTAGAGCGACCTTTTGTGAAACCATATTGTTTAGTATGCAGTAATTTATTTAAATTAAAATAAGACAATAACTGTTCAAGAATTATTTTTTCAAAGATTTTACTTAACGTCGGTAATATTGATATAGGTCTTTATTTACTATGGTCTTCCCTATTTCCGGATTTAAAAAGAGGTATGACTTTGCTTAGCTTCATAAGATTTGGAAAAATTCCTTCATCTATACAAAGATTAAAAATGTCAGCCAAGTAAGGGGATATACCATGAACTATACTTTTAATAATATTAAGTGATATGCCCCATAAATCACACGTGTTTTTTATTTTCAGACAATTAAAAGTTTTAATAATATCTACGAAACTAATATATTTAAATTTAAACTGGCTGTCTACTTTAGGCACGTATTTTTCTAAAATAGTCTTTCTGGCAGTTGGTGAAGAATTTAAGCCAGATCTTGTTTCAATTGGTATGTTTAAAAAGTACTCATCAAATATATTAGCAATTTTATCATGAGATTTGATGGTCGTGTTATTAAAGTTAAGTGTCAGAATATCTTTACGTATTTGCTCCTTACCGGTTTCACGGTTTATTATATTCCAAGTTGTTTTGACTTTATTATTGGAATTCTTTATTTTCTCTTTAATAAAATTTGACTTTGCCGCAAAACCCCAAAACCCCGCACCCTTTTAAATACTTTCGAATAATCTTTCACGTAATCAATGAAATTTTGATTATGGTTATATTTTCTTAAAGCGTATAATTCATAAAGTTTGTTTCTACTTTTATAAATACCTGTTGTAGCTCAGTCACAGAACTGTAACTTCTGTGTAACTTTTACGGTCTTACACGGAAAAGCGTTTTCGAATTCATTTTTATAAGGCAGAATCTTAACAAAAAGAGCATCACCATCATTTGGCCATACCATCTCAATTAATTTCTCATCTATGTTATTATAAAAATTATCTAGGCGTATTTTAGTAATTGGTCTACACTTAATAATTTTTGGCTCATTAGTGATATTAATCCTATATGTGGTCTTCAGTCCGTAATGGTCAGATGTAAGATTGTTGAAAACAAGTTTATTAATCGGATCATAATCAGAATATACATTATCCAAACAAGTGGCTGAATGTGCCGTTACTCTAGTAGGCTCAAGAAATTGATTAAAAAGATTGAAGCATTTAAATAATGATAGCAAACGAACGGATGTTGAACTGTTCACTAGAAGATCTACATTAAAATCACCACATACAATCAAATATTACTACAATCATACTATTTAGCTCCACACAAGATAGCTCAATATGACGTTCTACTGAGAGATTCACTATATCTTTGTGCTCCTTAAACATGAAATAATTATTTACAAATATTAATAATCCTCCCCGCTGGGCTCTCCTAAGTGTATATGAACTGAGCATTTGAAAATTTTTAATGAAATGACTTTTCACAAGGCCTCAGCCAATGCTCCGTTAAACAATATATATGAACATCCTGTTCTTTTGCTAATAATTGTAATTCTTAATCTTTGCCAGTTAAACCCTGAATATTTTGATGAATAATATTAAAATTAGTAGATTTGACTGTTGTCTTTTTAATATTAATCAAAATTTCCCGTCCCTTGCTTCGGACTGCAAGTTAAGCCGTTGGTCCCGGCTGAATCAGCAGTCATTAACACTCACCAATTCGCATTGGGCCGCGTAGTACGTTATGGACTGATTAAATTTGGATGAATTCTTTCTTTCCCACGCAGGCGAAGTCGCGGACACAGCTAGTCTTCAATAAAATCGAAACACAAAAAGTGGATGCACCAAAAATCTTTTTGAGGCTGGTGTTGGACATTTTTAGGAAAAATATCATGTATGGTAAGAGTTGTACTCGTAGTAATTGTTGGTGTTCTCGTATCATCCACTTTATGAGTTTTGATTTTATTTGAAGTTAAAAATTTGTGGCATTATTTCTCTCTTTTCAGTCGTTAATCTTTTTTACGATTTCTTTGAAGTCGGTTTTTGTAGTCAATATTACATACTGATGTTTTAAATGTAGTTCAGCTTAGTTGAAATAAAATAACATTTTATTGTTCATTATAAATGTTTATTAGTCGTGTCAAAACTTGCACAACAGTTTATTATTAAATAAATATAAGTAGACATGAAAAATTATTATGCGCATCTGTGATTGATTACTAATTTGTATCGATCGGATTATAGTTATAAATATGACAAGTGAATTCGGTAATAACCAAAAATGTCTTCAGCGGCGAGCGAGCGACGTACGATCGAACACGCTCGCTCATCGTAATATTTCTCGTACATCATATATAATATTAATTTATACATATAAAAATAGATCACTTAAATTTAATTCGCTAGCCTATAAGGAGATTTTTTCTATTTTTATATAAATGCAGTTTAAAGTCATGATATGAACCTATAGTCAGAGCACCATTATAATTTATAATATAACATCATTCCGTAAACAGTCTTCGGAGCGCGATTCTCTCGTCGCGCACAGACATGTATATCACATATATACAACGCGTACGTCGAAACGTACTATTTACACGATATTCGCAACTATCTATGTACACTATATTTTCGCTTTATACACAATTCATGTATCTCTTATGGAACAGTTACAAAAAGGAAAGACAAAGACCGCTCGAGCGGTCGACGTCACGGACGATCGAACCGCTACTCGTCGTAACAATCGAAACGTTACATCATGACAGGCGACGGAAAGTAAAGTCATAAACTTTAAATACAGTTCATGGTCCCGCTGAACACGTAAAACGTCACCCGCATTCACCGTTCACTTCGTTCGTTCGGCGCAGAGATTCGATAGGTCCGACGCCCCGGGCGATAGCGCAGGTCAGGTACAAATGTAGTTCGAGGGACGGGGATCTTCGGGAGGCCGGCGGGGGACGATTTCGCTTTCGTCGATAGCATTCATCCGGCGACGAGCTCGTCGTCGACACGCCGGCCCCGCGTCCCCCGCGGGGGCGGCCGCTAGAGGCCGCGCGCGGGGGCCGGGGGCGGGCGCGGGGGCGGCGCGGGGGCCGCGCGCCGACGTCACACGTCGGTATGACGCGCGCGGGGGCGTTCGTCGCCCTCGTCCTCCGCCTCCGATTCTTCTATCTCGCAGAGATTCGCCGATAGATCGCTGCACGACCCCGCGTCGTCGCCGCCGAGAAGGGAGTTCCGTTCCTCTGCAAAATTTATATCGATCATGATGCGCCAGGGGAGAAAGAGAATCGCATGCATGCCGGGGCCGGGAGGGCGCGCGAGTTACCGAGCATGGTGATGAGGCTGGCGGCGTCGGGCGGGCGCAGGGCCCGCGCGCGCAGCTCGGCCGGCGGCGGCGCGGCCGGCGGCAGGTACTCGTCCGGGTGCAGCAGGTACGCGGACGCTGCGGAGCGAGATGTTTGTATGATTTCACTCGACGGTTTTAAAAGGAAAGGAGGGGAACGATCATTCGTATAACGTCCGTTGCATAAATGAATAAACAGAGGCAGAAGTGAACATTTACCGTCGGCGAAGCGGGCGGTGTCCGCGTCGCTGGGGTCCTGGTCGGCGGGCGAGTCGGTGGGCGCGGCGGGCTCGGGGGAGGTGTCGGGGCGCTCGGAGCCCGCCACCTCGCTGATGCCGGGCAGCGCGCCGCCGCCGCACCAGTCCGAGCAGTCCCAGTGGTAGCCGCCCACCAGGTGCGGCTCCGCGCCGCCCCCGCCCGCGGGGGGCCCTCGCCGGCCCAGCCCCGGAGATCGCGTGCGCGGGCGGCTCTTGCAGCCTTTGAGATCTGTCAAATCGATCGTAGGTTTTAAAAGTCGAGCTCGAAAGCCAGACCAGGAGACGAGACGAAGAGGGAGGCAGTTGCGGAACCTAAAAGAGGAATTCCGCCGTCGGAACTTTTTATCGATAGATTTTTACCGCCGGAGCCGGATACGTCCACCCGGAGTCGGTCTTCGGCGCCTATAAAAAAATAACGCTTCGAGGAGGGCGGTCTCACCGTTGTATATCTTGTTGTCGACGAACGTGTGCAGATGCATCTGCTCCGACCAAGGTTTCCGATCCTGCGGCGGCTCGATGTTGAGGTTCCGGCGGTAGTCGGGCGGGATGCCCTCGAGCTCGTCGCCGGCGGAGCCGTAGCTGCGGAGCGTGTCCACGTTGTTGAGCGGCGGCGGGTCCGCGCACGAGGAGGGCCGCTCCCGGCGCGACACCGCCTCCAGGTTGGACAGCTTCGAGGTGCGCGGGACGAGCTTCTCGCTGTTGAGCGGCTCGGCCCGGGCGGCGGCGGCGGCGCGGCGGCGACTGCGGCGGCGCAGCGCCAGCGGCAGCGCCACCGCCAGCAGCAGCAGCGCCAGCAGCAGCGCCGCGGCCGCCGCCAGCGGCCAGCGCGCCTCGCACGCCCAGCGCCACGCCCCGCGCAGCGCGCGCGCGCCGCCCGCCTCCGCGCCGCCCGACACCACCGCGTCCGAGTACAGAGGGTTGCCGCAGTTCATGCCTGCGATCGAATGTTGATAAGTTTTTTTTATGAGGAAACGGGCGGTCCTCCCCGATTTAGATGAAACGAGAAAATAGGAGAGATACGATTTTATTGTAATATCATCGAATACCGACGACCTCCGTAGCCGGTTCCGAGGTGTCACCGTCTCTGAGGTCCCGGGTTCGATTCCTGGTCAGGTCAATGTAGAAAAGGACTTTTCTATATTGTTATTTTAGATACTCCATAATACAGGGGCTTCAGTTACTCATCTTGGAATCTGAGCAATGAAATGAAATGAAAATATCTTTATTCGAGTAGGCTATTACAAGCACTTTTGAATCGTCCAAAAAAATTTTTTTTCCCCCTCCCACTTGTTCAGGACGTCTTTTAGCTGACAAGAAGAACAAGCGAAAGAAACTTACCAGCTTTTAATCATAAGTAATGACATTTACATAAATCATGTCATTACCAAAATAATATGTATTATCACAATAATAAATACAACTTCCAAAGTTTGTAGATCATAGGTTGAACATATAATTAGTCTTTATAGAACAATGCGAAGGCTATCAATTCCATGCATTGCGATCCTTAAAATAATCATCAACTTTATAATAGCCTTTACTCATAAGTATATTCTTTATATGAATTTGAAATTTATTTATGGGTAGGTCAATTACATTTTGTGGAACTTTATTGAACATAGCAATACATTTACCCAGAAATGATCCTCTGGTTTTTTGAAGTCTGAAGCTTGGAACGGCAAGTTTATTTTTATTTCTTGTGTTACGATTATGAACACTACTTTTTTTTGTGAAGGAATCGTAATGTTTTCTTGTGTACATAATATTCTCATAGATGTATTGAGAGGCAACAGTCAGAATATTTATTTCTTTAAATATTTCTCTGAGAGATTCCCTAGACTGTAAATTATATATAGCACGGTCAGCTCTCTTTTGTAGAATAAAAATATCCTGAATGCTAGCCGCAGAACCCCACAACAATATACCATACGTCATTACACTATGAAAATAACTAAAATATACCAATCTTGCCGTTTCAACATTTGCCAAGAGTCTAATTTTTTTAACAGCAAAAGCTGCAGAACTCAGTCTACTTGACAAGCTATCAATATGAGGATCCCATTGCAGACGGGAATCTAGTGTAATACCAAGGAACTTTGTCGATTCTACTAACTCAACTTTTTCACTATTTACATTTATAAGTGTACTGACATGCCTCACATTAGGTAATGAAAACTTTATGCATTTCGTTTTATTTGAATTGAGCTTTAAATTATTATTATCAAACTACTGTAGAACATTGTCGAGAGCATTATTTACATAGTCAAAACAATCATTACCCCTCTCAACTTAAAACAGTAAAGAGGTGTCATCTGCAAATAATACTGTCTCGCACAAATTCTTCGTAAAGTGAGGAAGATCATTAATATAAATTAGAAAAAGCAACGGTCCTAATACCGATCCCTGAGGTACGCCCATAGTAACTGGTGCCCCTGCAATATATCTGATGTTGTTTAATATTACTTTATTACTTTAATATGTTTCGCATCGAGGCCGACCGGCCGATCGTCCCGAGCGTATCTGGACCTTTCGAATTTTTCGTCGGGTCAAAAATATGACGTCCTTCCATCCGATGAAAATCCTAAATCGTCCCGCGTCTCACCGGTTTTATCCGGGGGGCAGAGGCAGCGGAAGGAGCCGGGCTCGTTCAGGCAGGTGGCGCCGTTGAGACAGGGCTCGCCGGCGCACTCGTCGACGTCGTACTGGCAGCGCGGCCCGTAGTACCCGCGGCAGCGGCACGACGGGCCCCACTCGCCCTCCTCGCACGCGCCCCCGTGCGCGCACGCCTCCGCCGCGCACCAGCGCCCGCGCTCGCAGCGCGCGCCGCTCAGCCCCTCCGCGCACGCGCAGCGGAACCCGGACCCGTCGCCGGCCACCGAGCAGAACCCGCCGTGGAGGCACGGCTGCGACGCGCACGGGTCCGTGTCCACCTGAAAATAGACGTTCGCCGGTGAGATAGCTTATTTTACGAGAACGACCTCCGGCCGGCCGGAGCGGGCGGACGCCGAAACTCAGATGATCACCTCGCAGCGCGCGCCCTGGAACCGCTCGTGGCAGAGGCAGGTGTAGCCCTCGGTGTCCAGCAGGCCGGGCGCGTCGCGGCAGGAGCCCCCGTTGAGGCAGGGCGCGGAGCCGCAGGGGGTGGGCGGGGGGAGGGGCGCGCACGCCGCCGCCACGCGCGCGCGCACGCGCCGCACCAGCACGGCGCGTCCGTCCCGCGACGTGCCGCCCTCCTCCAAGGGCAGGCTCGCGCCTCCCAACTTCAGCTCTGAGATGCAGCCGTGAAATCCGTACGTCACCTGCGAGAGAAATAAACGTTTCGAATCGTATGTCGTTCCTTGGAAAATCTAAAATTCTGACAAACGTGAACGTATCGAATTTACATAAAACGTCATCCTCCCCGCTTCTCTCATTCAAACGATTCTATAATAATGTTAACAATCTTCTCGGTTTTATTTAGCGAAATTTAAAAAACTACGATTTATCATCGATCGATTATACGTATAGTAATAGTAATAGTATTGAGAGTAACCAGATAGTCCCTATTTTCAAGAATTATCGCCCTTTTTGCATTTTAAATATTCTTGCAAAATTGTTGAAGAAGATGGTATATCAACAGGTTTATCCAGTAATTTGTCTCAGTATACCCAAGTCTCGACATGGTTTTCTCAAGGGACAGTCTACTGCGTCTAACCTAGGTATATTTACTGATTTTGTACTTAATAACATGGAGGGAGATGGATAGGTCGACCTCGTTTACACCGACATTGCAAAAGCTTTTGATCGTGTTGATCAGAGCATACTTGTTGGCAAGATGGGTAATATCTTACTTATCAAATCGATTACAGGTAGTGGTGCTGGGTGGATTCCGTTCGGAGTATATTTGTGTCCCATGTCGAGTTCCGCAGAAGTCGCATCTCGGTCCTCTCTTCTACAACGCTTACATCTACGATATATCTAATTATTTTGATAATGCTAGTTATCTGCTTTACGCCGACGATAAGAAAGTCTTCACGCGAATTCATTCAATTAATGATTGTATACAAAGACAACAATATAAACTTAAGCATACATAAATGTAGCAACATCGCTTTTAGTTGGAAAAAGAAGCCTATATTGTTCCAATATCAATTCAGCGGTGTAGTGGTTGAGAGGGTTGATGTCGTAAGGAATCTGGGAGTACTTCTAGACTCCAAAATACTTATGTCTCAGTATATTGATAGCATAGTTATGGTTTCACAAAAGGTCGCTCTACTACTGATGCTGGTGTTCTGTAAATTGACGAACCGATGGCGTAACAGCCTAGACTGAATAAATATTTATGATTTTGATTTAGTTAATAGGGCGTTTCAAAGTCTGGGCTTTGTAATGCGTACTTGTTGCCGTTCAGTTCCTTGGCCTCTATCAAGGTTGTATATTATGCTCTCATGCGAAGTATACTTGAATATGCCAGTCCAAATGAGCCCAAGATATGCTATTTACATCTCTTGAATAGAACGTATCCAAAAGAAATTCATATGTCATCTCAAGTTTAAATTCAATGCGGACACGGAAACACATGTTGAAAGTTGTCATTATTTGTGGCTCTTATCTCTTGACGAACGACGTCAGGTGCTTGATATGGGGGTCCTATGGGATATAATACATGGCCGTCTAGATAGCTCTGATCTTCTAGCTAGCTTGTCGCTCTGCGTACCGGATTACCGTACACGGTACATTCCACTTTTTCATATCAAACGGCTTACGGAATTAACTCGATTCTAACTCGTCTTCCGCGACTGTACAACACAAAGTTTTACAAAACTGATATTTTCTTTGGAACAAAGGAGATTTTTAAAAAAGGCATAAAGTTGACTATTCTACCTCCACCTAATCAAACTAAAACTTAAAAACTTAACTATGTATACATATGAGTACGATTATGTGTGTGTGTGAATAAGTGTATACGTGGAAATATGAACATAGTATGAATATATGAGTGTGAGTATGACCTATGTTTTTCTTTTTTCAAGGTTATGCAATGCACGTTTGCAAGTATGGGCATAATATGAATATATGAATGAAAGTATGTAGGTATCTATATTTTTTGTTATCATTTTTTTTCATTGTTATGCATATGCATGCATGTTATGCAAGCATGCAGCTCGTCATACTTTTCTCAATGCATCTTTTAAACTTGATTCCTTTCGCTTTTGTCGACGAGCCGATTTCACAACTTCTGTATTGTTGATTTTAACGGTTAAAACATTGTTGTTATAATATTTTAGCTAGTTGTTTACATTTGTATCGGCCTGTGGTTGTTTTATGTACCAATTAAGTAGCTAAACAATAAAAGTAAATAAGGCTTTATCCACTATCGAAAATGTATAAATGAATAATAATAATAAATTCTTTATATAAATACTTATCGAACCGTCCTAGCACTTCGAGCATATAATATTTCTACTCATCACATAATATACTAAACTCTGCACGCGTCCGTAGTTCTCTTTTCTGTAGTATTCATTTAATTCGGATCGCCCATCGACACGTGAGCCGAACGGAGGCCGCGTGCGCCTATAATGGTCTATAATAAGGCGAGGCTTAAAAAGTAGGCAGACTTAAAAAGAAATAAGAGTCGAGCTGACCTGCTCCGGGGCGAGCGCGTGCGCGTGCCGCAGCAGCGCGGCGCCGACGAGCAGGCGGTCGGCGCGCGCGTCCAGCACGGCGGCGGGCGGCGGCGTGGCGGCGGCGGCGCTGCGCCGGTCCACGGTCAGGCGCATGGCGGCGCCGCGCCGCTCCAGCCGCGCCTCGTGCCACGCGCCGTCCGCCACCGGCACGCTGGCGCGCACCAGCGCCGGGCCCGCGCCCAGCTCCAGGCGGAACTGCAGGTAGCCCTCCGCCACCTCCAGCGCCGCGTAGTCCACGCGCCCCGCCGCCCACAGCAGCGTGCCGCGCTCGCGCCGCGTGCGGAACCGCAGCGACAGCGTCAGCTCGTCGTCCGGCACGCGCGCGCCGTCCACCGCGCCGCGCTCCACGCGGTACACCAGGTACCCGTCGCCCGCCAGCTGCGTCACCGCCGGACTCGATCTGCGGACCGACGGATCGTCCTTGAGGATTTTCGACGAGAACCGAAGCTCGTGCATATCGTGGCGGAGACCGATGGGAAGTCGATTCGGTCGAGCGCGAAAAGCCGAGATATTATATTTATTTTTTAAAGCTACATAATGAAAAAACTTAAAGCTAAAATAGTGATCATGCACACATACACCGAGTCCGCAGCTATGATAAAATTGGTAGTCAATAGCATATTGGAGTGTACTCACAAATCGTTGAAGTTAAACATATTGTTTAAAATACGCACAGCCGAAACCTCGCTAGTATCGAAACGATCTAAGTGTACATCCCTTGACAGGTCATTGTCATTGTTAAAAGATTATAATTGAGAAGCTTTGTCTGTGTTCTAAGATTTTTTTTAGATACTACATAATTCAGGACAATTAATTACACCAGATCCAATTTTCATTAAATATAAAAGTCTGCAATCTCACGACGCCTTTCTAATGGGAGCAGATGTCTTATGTCTTTTTTTTATTATTTATTTATTTAGGAAAACGAACAGTCATTTACAATTTAAATATAATCATTATTTATTTAACTTATAGACCTGACAATTCCATTACTAAATACTAAAAAAAAAAACAATTACTAACTATTAATAATAGTGATGACAACGAATAAACCTAACCTACACATCAAACATACAACTTCTCCACAATAATCTCAGAAACTCACTCTGATTATTCATTTTTTAAATATAATATCTCCCACTTTTCGTTTATATTGGATTAGTGATAGCGAAAAAATGTCAACGTCTGATCTGCGATGCATACTCAAGATGACTACGGGCAAATGTACAATACAATATTTTCAGTGTCTTTGCTTTGGTGAAATCCCTAGAGTTACGCATCACAAATGCAAGAACTTTCGAAGACTTCGAAATAATATTATCAACATGCCTTTCAAAAATGAACTCATTATCATCCAGCACTTCAAGTCTACGACTGCAGTGTACCGACTTAATTTAGTGGTTTTTAAAGCGTAGAAATATTGCACTCAGATGGATTGATATCCAAGTAATTATCGATAATGAGCGTTATTAAGTCACTCCGAAGAAAATAAAATATCGAAGCTTTGAGAACTTAAAACACTGCTCGATGTCATTTACAAAGACCACAAACAGAAGAGGGCCGAGCAACGAACCTTGAGGAACGCTGCTAGGCTGCCAACCATTTAGAGATATAGTTTTTTATAACAACTGCTTGAGAACGGTTATTCATATGTAAAGAAAACCATGGTTTTCTCATTTGGATTGTTTCGCGCTATTAGAAATGATTCATAGTCTGTGCAGGTGCTCTTTGGTCTGTGAGGAAAATTAAAAAGAAAGAGTAGCATAACCTAGAGAGGCGTATAATAATTGTAAACAGTAAAAATAATTTATAAAAGAAGTTTTATATTTGTAAAGATATAAGTTGTAGTGATTGGACATCGTGTTCAGTAACATTTAATGTCGTTTCTTTAACAGGTATGTAAGATTTTGACAATAAAAAACTTTACCTAATTTGATATTGTAAAATTTATAAAATAAATCTTTATCTTTAACAGAGAAACCCAATTGTGTTTTGCTGGCGGTGTCGTCTTAATTACACATACAAAAAAATATCTTATAAAACGACATTTTTGTCACAAAATGGAGAAGTTGAAATTTGCATTTCAAGTTAAACCAACAGTAGACGGAAAGTCAAACTTCATCGCAATAACATCTATCACCACACAAGACGACAAGGTTTTCCTTATCCCTGAAGAACATCAAGTAATATCACTTCACAAATACATTATTGCCACGAAAACCTATAATACAGTAAAAAATACATTAAAAAAGAGAAATCAGACTAGAAATGTTTGGATAAAAACAACAGAAGATATACTAAAAACGTATATCGATGAGGATAGCAACATGATTTTTCAAGATCAGTTTTTAGAGGAAACTACCCCCGAACAGATGTCTATTGCGAGTAAAATGTCTTCAGAAGATCCCATAGTAAAAATTTTGGAGAAAATGGTTGAAAATAAACAGAATGAAGAAAAGAAAAGTATGAAAAAGTTAGCTGAAAGATTTGTGATCGAAAAATTTAATGGAAAAAATACAAATGCATGCCAATGGATGGAAATATTTGAAAAAGAATGTGCAAGGTTCACTATCGTCAAAGAGGAAGAAAAGATCGAGATTTTCAGACTATTTCTAGAAAAAACATGTATTGATTGGTATTCTTCCATGATGATCAAGTTCGGTTTAAATTCTGAGTGGTCAGAATGGAAATCAGATTTTTTACAAACCTATACCTATAAAGGTTGGACTTCCAGCAAGTATGCCCTATCTTTCAAATATCAAATGGGTTCTCTATTAGAATATGCAGTAAAGAAAGAACGACTTTTACTAGAACTAAGGAAAACAATGGATGAAGGGACCCTAATCGATATAATTGCAGCCGGCTTACCAGATTTTATAACAGATCGAATCAACAAAGAAGAAATTGCTCATGCAAAAGACTTGTTCAATGAACTTGGGAAATTAGAACATTTGGTGCAAAGAAAAAGAGTCATAAGAAGGAAAGAAGACACTAAGCTAACTAAAGAAAAATGTGCTATTTGTGAAAAACTAAATAAAGGTGTACGCTATCATTCAGAAGATTCCTGTTGGTTTAAACCAAGAATAAATACTGAAAAGGATAGAAAACAAATTAAGCTTATCAACAATTCAGAGTTAGAATGTGAATTGCAATGTGAAGATCAAAAAAACTAATAGTGCCGCCATTGATCAAAGTAAAATTAGTAATCAATAAGAATGTTGAAGTATTAGGGATCTATGACTCAGGTTCAAATGTTTCATTAATAAATTCTAAGTTGTTAAATATAAAAAATAAGGGAGAAACTATTTCTAACGATACTAATTTAAAAACGATTAATGGCGTTAAAAAAGCTATTGGAATGGTTATTCTAGACATAGCCATCTTTAATATAAAAAAAAAATTAATGTTTTTGTAATAGACAAAGAAAATTTCGCTTATGATTTTTTAATAGGACTAGATTGTATAAGAGAATTCTACCTAGTTCAAGATGAGGACTTAAAAATTAATCAGAAAATACCTATAAAAAGAAGTGAAACAAACATAGTTGATACTGATTCTAAGAATATAAAATCGGATAATGTTGTAAACTACAATGAAGATTTCGGAAAAGAAGATTACAAATTTTGTGTTAACCATCTAGACTTCCAGGAACAGGCAGTGATAGATGACTTAATATCTAAAAACAAATCTGTGTTCGCAACGGACAAGTATGACATAGGACAAGTAAAGGATTATGAAGCACATATTGATCTTCAAATAGAAAAATACTGCAGTAAAAGGCCATATCGTTGCACAATAGAAGACAAAAAAGAAATTGAAGAACAGGTTGCAAAATTACTAAAAAAAAATATAATAGAGGAATCATATAGTCCATTCGCAGCACCAGTCACTTTGGCCTATAAAAGAGATGAAAATAAAAAATCAAGATTGTGCATAGATTTTCGAGACTTAAATAAAATAGTTATACCTCAGTCACAGCCTTTCCCGCTTATTGAAGACTTAATAGTAAAAACAAGAGATTGCAAGTATTTTTCAACACTAGACCTTAATTCAGCATTCTGGTCCATACCACTGCGTGTTACAGATAGACCCAAAACTGCATTTGTGACACAAGAAGGCCATTACCAATGGACCTGTCTACCGTTTGGCTTAAAAACATCTCCAGCTATATTCCAGAGGATAATGTGTAACATTATACGAAAGCACAAGCTCGGAGAGTTCACAGTATGTTTCATCGATGACATTTTGCTATTTTCAAAATCATTTTCGGATCATGTGAGACATCTAGAACAATTATTTAAAGCAATTCAAAGCGAAGGTATGAAACTAAAGTTCTCTAAATGTACATTTGCAGTAGACTCAGTAAAATACTTGGGTCATATAATACAGAATAATGCAGTCAGACCACTGAAAGACAACCTGATATCTATTAAAAACTTCCCAGTACCAAAAACTCAAAAAAATGTGAGACAATTCTTGGGAAAGATAAACTTCTATCATAAATATGTACCAAATATTGCAATAAAGTTGGAACCACTGCATAACCTTTTGAGAAAAGGACAAACTTTTAACTGGACAGGAGCATGCCAAGAGTCATTTGATGAAATGAAACAAATATTATGTTCTCAACCAATATTAACAATCTTTGACCCAAAACTACCAATACACATATACACGGATGCTAGTATACTGGGAGTAGGAGCAGTCTTGAAACAGCCACAACAAAACAATGAATTAAAACCAGTAGCATATTTCTCAAAAAAATTGAATGAAGTACAAAAGAAAAAAAAGGCCATATATCTGGAATGCCTGGCAATCAAAGAATGTGTCCAGTATTGGCAGCACCTATTGATAGGTAGGACATTTACCGTCTTTTCAGATCACAAGCCCTTGGAGAATATGAACATAAAATGTAGAACAGATGAAGAATTAGGTAATCTAACACATTACTTGTCACAATATGACTTTCAGATAAAATATTCTCCAGGAAGATATAACATTGAAGCAGATTGCCTGAGCAGAAACCCAGTCCTTGAACCAGAGGATAACATAGAGGAACAGTTAAAAGTAGTTAACATAATAACACTAGATGATATCTTACAAGATCAAGTTAATAATGAATATATACAAAACAGAAAAGATAAGTTACAAACAAAAAACAATATATACTACAAGAAAGTGAAGAAAAAGGAAAAAATAATTATATCACAAAAATTTAGCATAGAACTCATGAACAATGTACATACAGATCTAGGCCATATCGGAATTAAACAGATGCAAAGAATGATTAGTTCAGTGTATACAGCAGAAAACATGACGAAAAATATAAAAAGAGTTTGTGAGAATTGTATAGTATGTTTAAAGAATAAATCAAGAGGAAAAAATAGATACGGATTGATGTCCCACTTAGGTCCCGCCACAAAACCTTTTCAGATATGCTCTATTGATACTATTGGAGGTTTTGGAGGTTCCAGATCAACAAAGAGATACCTGCATCTGCTATCAGATCATTTTACTAGGTATGCCTATATTTTGACATCTAGTACTCAAAATGCAAATGATTTCATCAAACTCATAAGAAACTGTGCAGAAACTGATGACATCGAATTGATACTCTCAGACCAATACCCGGGTATCAATTCAAAGGAATTCAAGAATTTTTTGGACGAAAAGAATATTTCAATAATTTTTACTGCTGTTAACTCACCTTTCTCAAATGGTTTAAACGAGAGACTAAACCAAACATTGGTCAACAAAATCAGATGCAAAATAAACGAACAAGATACGAAAATATCATGGTCAACTATAGCACATCACTGTGTAAAAAAATACAATGAAACGGAGCATACTGTAACTGGATATGCACCAAAGTACCTACTTTATGGCACAGATGTTTCTATTTTGCCAAATGAGCTGAAACAAAAGAAAACTGAGTATGATTTAATGCAGGACAGGAAAAGAGCTCTGGAAAATACAATCAAATCGCATAATTACAACAAAACAATTTACGACAAACATCGAAGATATATAGACTTCAAAGTTGGTGATACTGTTTTTGTGGAGAACGGGAGCAAATTAAATAGAAAAAAGCTTGCTGAGTTGAAAATAGGACCCTACAAGATCATAGAAAAGATATCAACTTCAATTTACAAGATAAATACTGACCATAAGAAATCAGAGTCTAACTTTTTCCATATCTCGAAGCTAACACCAGCTCCTGGCTACGCTTGAAGAACGGTTCACTTGGTACATTAACTTTTTAGCTTCTCTTGGGGGGGAGATGTAAAGAAAACCATGGTTTTCTTATTTGGATTGTTCCGCGCTATTAGAAATGATTCATAGTCTGTGCAGGTGCTCTTTGGTCTGTGAGGAAAATTAAAAAGAAAGAGTAGCATAACCTAGAGAGGCGTATAATAATTGTAAACAGTAAAAATAATTTATAAAAGAAGTTTTATATTTGTAAAGATATAAGTTGTAGTGATTGGACATCGTGTTCAGTAACATTTAATGTCGTTTCTTTAACAGGTATGTAAGATTTTGACAATAAAAAACTTTACCTAATTTGATATTGTAAAATTTATAAAATAAATCTTTATCTTTAACAGAGAAACCCAATTGTGCTTGACTGACGGTGTCGTCTAAATCACACTTACTATAGAAAATCTTATACATATATGAGGTTAACCAACTGAACAAGTCACCATCGACGCCAATGTTTTGCAACTTGAGCAGAAGTAAATTGGGCAGAAGTAATTGAAAGTAAGAATTCGGTCAAATGCCTTTGCAGTCTGTGTGAGCGACATCGACTTGTATACCACTATCCATAGCTACAGGGGGAGAGAGAGATTCATTCAATTATACGAGGTTGGACACAACTGATCAACCCGACATGCCGCGCGTGACTGAATGACTGCTGCAGTGCTTAATAAAGCTGTTCATAGACAATTTTCTTGAAAACTTTGGCAATAATACAAAGCTTTGAGATCGGCCGGTAATTAGAGATATCCGATCTGGAGCCTTTTTTATGAACCGGAATGATAAACGTACGTTCCGCGTAGCCGGGTATTCCGTCTAAGGATTTTTTAAAGAGAAGGAAATCGGTCACGCTATCGGCTTCGCACAGTAGAAAAGGAAACGAGCAGGTCAAGACATCAGGTCCGGCTGACTTCGAACGTTTCAATCGTAAAAAAAGTTTGGTTACTTTATCGACATTAACTATGATATCTTTTATACGAGTTACAGTCGATTTAGAATCGCACTCGGAAAAGGAAAATTACTTCCACGCTTAAGACGGAAATGGAAAAATTTATAAAATAATGAAAAAAAAATATAAAGAATAAAGCTGCAACCTGCAACCGAGTTCGCCGCAATCGGCATCGACGTCGGTGGCGTCGGCGATGCGGTCGCAGTGGTCGCCCGCGTACCCGCCGGCGCAGGCGCAGTCGCCGCGCAGCCGGTGCGGCGCCGCCACCAGCGAGTACACGTCCGTGGCCACCGCGCGCGGGCCCCCCGCCAGTTCCAGCCGCTCCGCGCACGCGCCGTGCACGCAGCCGCCGCACGACGCGCGCAGCAGCTCCTCCACCACCAGGCGCGTGCGCTCCTCCAGCCGCTCCAGGTGCGCGTGCAGGCGCCGCCGGAGCGCGTCGGCCGGCAGGAAGCCCCCGGCCGCGCGGACGGCGAACGCGACGTCCAGATCCTGCGCGACCTGCCGGCGGGCGCGCCGCGCGGCGGCCGCGTCGCCGGACGGCTGGACGCTCACGATCGTCACGTCGCCTATCTCGCACTCGGTCGCCTCGGCGACCGCCCGGACGAATCCTTTTCGGTGGCTCAGAACGAAGTCGCGGTCGGTGACTTCCCGAAAACGGACGACGATCGTCCGCGCGAGCATCTCGTCGGAGACGAGGACGACGGCGACGCGGACGATCGCGAAGCTGACGAACTTGCCGTCGTCGACGGTGACGTTGAGCCGGTAGTCGCCGACGTCGAGGCGCGGGGCGGCGCGCAGAGTCCCGGCGGCGGCGTCGATCTCGAACAGGTCCGAGGGCGGGTACGGGGCGCCGTCGGCGGGCGCGAGCGCGTACGCGAGCGAGTCGTACGCGTCGCGGTCGGACGCGTGCACGCGGCCGATCTCACCTCCGGGGAACTCGTCCAGGTACGAGTTGACGACGATCTCGAGCGGCGTCACGACCGGCGGGTACTGGGACTCCTCGATCACTCTGACGTAGACCCACGCGTCCGAGAACAACGGCGGGGTTCCGTTGTCGAAAACGCGGATCTGGAGGGCGTACGCGTCCTTGATGCGGTGGTTGAACCGGGTCGCCGATCGCAGATATCCGTCCTGCTCGAGACGAAACGCGCCCATCTCGTTCCCGGACTGAAAGTCGAAAGTGTACGGCGCCGCGTTCGGGGGCGCGTCCGCGTCTCGCACTTCGAACTTCACGATCGTGTAGCCGAGCGGCCGATCTTCCCGGACGACCGCCGAGTGGTTGGTCTGCGCGAACAGCGGGGGATTGTCGTTGGCGTCGCCGACCTCGATGTTGACGAACGCGGACGACTCGAGCGCGGGCACGCCGCGGTCGCGGGCGCGCAGCTCGAGCGCGTACGCCGGGACCGCCTCCCTGTCGAGCGGCGCCGCGACCGACACGTACCCGGTGTCGGCGTCGACGACGAAGCGGCCGTCGCGATCTCCCCGCACGATCGAGTACTCGACGCGCCCGTTCGCCCCCGAGTCGGCGTCGTCGGCGATCACCTGGACGACGCGCTCGCCGACGGCGGCGTCCTCGCGCACGCGCGCCGCGTACGTCGGCTGCGAGAACACCGGCGGGTTGTCGTTGCCGTCGACGACGGTCACGTTGACCGAGGCCCGGTCGCTGAGCGGCGGCGAGCCGCCGTCGATCGCCTGGATCGTGAGCGCGTACTCCCTTCGGCGCTCGTAGTCGAGCGGGCGAGCGACGACGAGGACGCCGGAGGAGCGGTCGAGGGCGAAGTCCTCGCGGCCGTCGCCGCCGACGATGGAGTAGTAGACGTCGGCGTTGACGCCGGCGTCGCGCGAGGTGGCGCGCACGCGCAGCAGCTCGGCGCCGGGCGCGGCCAGTTCGGGCACGGAGGCGCGGTAGAGGCGCAGCTCGAACTCGGGCGGGTTGTCGTTGACGTCGGCCACGGTGAGGCGCACGGTGGCGGAGGCGGAGCGCGGGGGCCGGCCGCGGTCGCGCGCCACCACCACCAGGCGGTGCTCCGCCTGCGTCTCGCGGTCCAGCGGCGCTCGCAGCGTCACGATGCCGCTGTCGCTCGCCAGATCGAACGCGTCGTTCTCCTCCGCGAAGGAGTATCGCACCAGTCTGTTTTCGCCGAGATCTAAGTCGGTGGCGTGCACCTGAAAAAAAAAAAGAGTAGACGAGTTCGATTCTTGTGAAGCTCAAATATGAATCGTGTTTTGACCTGGCGTCGTCGAAGGTGACGGTGATAGATACGAGGGCGGGATGACAAATAGCTAGCCCAGCATAGAAAAACTTGAATTAGTGTATTTATTTTTCGACATAGTCTCCTTGAAGCGCTATGCACTTCATCCATCTATGCTCTAAAGCCTTGATGCCATCCCTGAAGTGGTTTTCTTCAAGCCCTTCAAAATAACTGTCCACGGCAGACATCACCTCGCTATTATTTTCAAATCTTTGTCCACCTAAAAAATTTTTGAGCTTAGGGAATAGATGAAAGTCAGATGGTGCCAGATCAGGAGAATAAGCTGGGTGTGGTAGCAAATCATAATTTAATTCTTTGAATTTCGCCATCGCAGTGATGCACGTGTGAACGCGCGCATTATCCTGATGAAAGATTTTTATTTTAGCCAGGTTGTATATTTAGCGAAGGTATTCAATCATCAATATAACCTTCGAATCACAAAATACTGACGCCATGATTTTTCATGGCTTTTGCTTTCTTTGGAGCCGGGGATCCTTTTTCCGTCCATTGTTTAGACTGAATTTTGATTCAGGTATATAGACGTGAACCCAAGTCTCGTTTGTAGTAACAAACCGTCACAGAAAATCAGTTGTATTGCTCTTAAAACGGTCCAAACATTCTTGTGGAACACGTTTCTGGTCAACTGTAAGCAATCGCGGCACCCACCTTGCGGATATTTTTTGCCCGTTCTTTAGAGATGCCTATAGTATCAGCTATCTCGGAAAGTTTTAATCTTCTTTTTCATTGAATTTTGATCACAATTTCTGGAGTAGTGGCACTTTTTGGACGTCCTGGACGATGTTCATCTTGGGTGTTGGTACGGCCACGTTTAAATTCAGCCACCCAATTTTTTATGGTCGCATATGAAGGAGCATTTTCTCCCAAAACATCCTTCATCTCCGAAAAAATCTCTTCACCTTTTAATCCTTTTAAATGCAAAAATGTTATCACAGCTCGTAGCTCAATTTTATCCATTTTGCAGAAAAAACAAAAGTATGCTTTTTGAAATGTCAATATTTTTAAAGAAAAACTATATGATCGATTTGAAATTTGGTACACTGGCAGCTAATGAACCAATGAGTAAAATACTAAGGAGATTTTATATCGTTATTATACAAAATATGGGTTGGGCTAGCTATTTATCATCCCGTCTATGTATTTATAAAAAAAATACCATAATAAGTGATAGACTTTCTGTAATTGTGCTGTATTACTTCTTACTAAAGAGACGGCTGGCATCGACCTCAAAAATTGTATTTCGATTTTATTGAAGACAAAAATTTGTGGCATTATTTCTCTCTTTTCAGTTTTTAATAGTCATTTTATATTTTTTTCTCGTTTTCACAGAAAAGACTCATGCGGGTCTAAGTTTATACGGTAAAATCATAGTAATTTTATCAAAAAAAATATATCAACGGGAACGGTGCAATAATATGTTTGTAAGATAACTACAAATCTCGATGACCCACCTGGGGCAAGAAGTATACTCGAGTTTATTATAAATCGTAAGCAGGAATGTACGACCCGCGAAATATTTAATTTTATTTTTCGATAAACGAACATACATTTATCTCGACCTTATATACTTTTTGTAGTCTCAATTTTAACACTAACTACCCTACCGGCCGTCGCACGGAGGGTTTTGATGATGAATAAAATCGACCAGTTCTCGATTCTAGCTTAAACATGTCCGGACGAACGGTCGATAGAAGTAGTTAGGTTTGGAAATACAGCGGGCACCTTGGCGACGAGCGTGCCGATGTCCGCGTCCTCGGGCAGCGTGACGCAGTAGGTGTCGGCGGAGAAGGCGGGCGCGTTGTCGTTGACGTCGGCGACGCTGACGAGCAGCTCGGAGCCGCAGCCCCAGCCCGCGCGCGTGCGGTGCTGCGCGTGCGCCACCAGCGCGTACGCGCCGCGCGCCTCGCGGTCCAGCGCGCCCGCCACCGTCACCACGCCGGTCTCCTGCGACGATATCGATATATATTAGCGTGCTAGGGGTCGATGGCCTGCGGTATCTCTTCGAGGGTTTATGTTAGGTCGATCGACTCCATGGCAAAAAAGCTCGCAAACTAGATCGAACATTAAAGCGCGTAAAGAACCAAAGAATGGGGTGAGAACGGGCAGTTTTGAGAAGGAATACTCTCGGCTCACTAGACAAATTGAAAAACTGTGGAGGAGGGACAGAAATATGAGTAATGACATTCACAAAAACCATGTCATTACCAGATCAATACACTATAAATAGAGAGATAAAAAAAGTATGGTTTTATAATGATAACATAATCATTTAATAATAATAGAAACAAGATAATTTTTGATATACGAGTATAATGAGTTTAGAAGTAATCATTAATCCAGTTGTTGGACCATCTTAAGTCCAAGCATTCTTAACTGTTATATAATCGGATACCTTAGAATAAGCTTTTTTAATAAGTATTTTTTTAATAGTAGATTTAAACTGCATGATATCTAATTGTTGTATTTTGCTTGGGACCTTATTGTAGAAACGCACACAAAGACCCCTGAATAAGTTATTGACTTTTTGCAGTCTAGTGACCGTTAATTTATTTTTATTTCTTGTATTAAAAATTGTACATGTCACTTTTTATAGAAAACAAACTCATATTTTTACGAAGGTACATTAAGTTCTCGTATATGTCAGTCATTATGTGTATTTCCTTAAATTTCTCCCTTAAAGAGTGCCTAATCCAAAGATTATAAATTGATCTAATTGCTCTATTCTGAAGCACAAAAATCGTTTGTATGTAGTAACTGAAGTATACTAATCTGGCAGTATCTATGTCAGTTAACCTACGTATCTGTAGTAGTAAATTATATTTTAATCAGCCCAACTGTAATTGTTTATTATAGTTATTAAAGTAATTAGTGGTAAACGGTGCTGGTGGCACAACTAGTATGTCATCATGTTTTGTATTGTATACACTTATATTGTTGTGTCATTGTTTGTTTACCCGAATATCAATAAAAAAAAGAAAGTATCGTCATTACGGCATATGCTGCAGAGCTAAGTCTACTCGATAATTTATCAAAATGTGGGCCCCACTGTAGTTTAGAATCTAATGTTATTCCTAAAAATACTATACAAGGCCCATGTTTTTTATGTTTTTATATAAACTTTTATATCTACAATAATGATTATGTAAATAACCTATCAACATTATAATATTGATTATGTAAATGACCTAATCTGGTGTTCTTTGATTTATATTGACAAATTTGTGTATGTTGATTGTATATAACATTGTAGAATTTGATATTGTATTTAAATAATATGACGGACATTGTAATCAAACTTAAATTATATGACATTTTAAATTTTAATGACATTAGAAATATAATATTTGCACGCCTACTATATAAGATAAAATATTGTTGAGCATGAAACCTATGTAACAACTGTACTGACACAATATTTGAGCAAATAAAGGTTTTGATTGATTGATTGATTTAATATTTCATGAGTTCAGGAAAAATACCACAATAAGTACATTCATTAAATATATAAGCTAGGATTGGAGCTATTATTAATCAGCGGTTTTCTTATTCTTCAGCTGATTAAAAGATTTTATTATATACTTATTTAAAATCAATGTGATGAAACTTAAATTGGCTATTACAATTATTTAAACTTGCCTTTAAACTATATTCAGCAACAGTGGAAGAGGAATTCAAATATTGTGTAATAATCACATTGTGTAATTAAGACTGGATTTTTTGTAAATAAATTTTCAAATACTGTAGCAACTTCAAGATCTGATGTTACGTTTTTATTGTCTATCAATGTTTAAATTAAAATAAGTATTCCGGGATTATTGTCTTCCAGTTTCGCTTTTTATGATATTCCACGTCATTTTAACTTTAATTTTACTATTTTTAATTTTTGCATTGAAATAATTACATTTGGTTAAACGACACACTTTTTAAAGAATTTAATGTAATTTCGAACATATTCTTTGAAGACTTGTGTTATAATAACGATCATCATATATTTCATAGAGCCTTTTTCTGCTTTTGTAAATTTCTGGTGTAGCCCACACACTAAGAGTTATAGGATTACTAATACGATTTTACAAAAATGTTTTTGAATTTTGTCAATGTTTCTGTATTCTTTGTATAAATCTTTGGGATTACTTTTATATTTAAAGTTATACAATTTACTATCCAATTGATTTTTACGTTCCAAGCGATTCATACTTTACGACACAACTGTAATGTCCCGCCTAGACACAAACGTGCATTTATGCGGAAAGCTAACTATTTGTCCAAAATGATCTGATGGTAGTTGTTCAATTATCTGTTTTGAAAGTGGTATCAGATCTCCAAAATTATTGTCAATACATGTGGACGAAGTAGCAGTTACTCTAGTGAACTCCTTAAACATATGTGCAAGTTTAGAGGACATAAATAGATTTACAAGTCTTGCACATGAAATGGAGTTTCCTAATAAATCAACGTTAAAACCACCACCAACCACTAATCGTTTGCCTTTGCTATATACCTTTTTTAAAGCTTCATCCATAACTATTTCAAAAAGTCTATATACGCTCAGTACAATTCGCTCAGTGCTCACTATATCTCTACGTTCTTTAAATTTAAACTTTTTATTTAATAAAATTAGTGCGCCACCACGCATTGCCTTTTTCCGAATGAACGCGCTACCAACCAGGTGATTATGAAGTTAAAAATGCAATTATAACTTGTTAAACAATGTTTCGTAATACAGAAAATATCAATATTTTTACAGGTTATGAATAATTCTACTACTAACTCCATACTCAAGATTCCTTGAACATTTTGGTGCACCACATTGATGACTGATAAACTGTTGGTTCGATTATTACTTTGTCTATTCATTAGCATGCAAGAGGAATCCTCCATTGTCGGATTATTACTGACAGTCATGTTAATAGAAGAGTGCTCAATAGAAGCTATATGGTTAGCCAAATTTTTGGCTGTTACAAAAAAAATATATATAGCGAAATAGCTATCTGTCACTTATAATAATAATAAATTATGGGTAATAGACTTAGAATAGTGGAGAGAACATCGCGGGGAACTCTATCAGATGTACTCTTCAAATAAAATGACTACAAGAGAGGAACCTGAAGTGCTGCTCGCAGAAGTCGAAAAATTAGTAGATTCGTGTACCTTGTCGATGGCGAAATCTTCGGCGTGGTCGCCGGTGAGGTAGTAACGTAGCGCGGCGGGGCCGGGCCCGTCCGCGTCGCCAGTCAGCAGCGTGATGACGCGAGTGCCCACCGCCGCGTCCTCCGCCAGTTGCGCGTAGTAGCGGTGGCGGATGCAGTACGGCGGATTGTCTGGGAAACGTGTCGAAAGTTAAAGCGATCTTTTATCGTTCGAACGAACTTAACGAGTTTCATAGCTTTTTCTCTTTATTTTTCCTTTCGACCGCCGGGGGCGATCGTTAGCGGATTATCCGTTTATAAAGTTAAAAATAGAATCGCGGAGAGGGATACTGACCGTCCACGTCGAGGACGGTGATGGCGACTTCGGTGTAGGCGGTGAACTTGCCGTCGGTGGCGGCGACGGAGAGCAGGTAGGCCGGCTCCCGCTCGCGGTCCAGCGGCCGCGCCACGTACAGCTCCCCGGAGGCGCGCAGCTGGAACCGCGCGCGCGCGTCGCCGCCCGCCACGAAGTAGGACAGCGCGCCGCCCGCCGCGTCCGCGTCCCGCACGCCCAGCCGCGCCACCACCGTGCCCGCCGCCGCGTCCTCCGCGACCTGCTCGCCGATTTTCATTTTTATTCAGTCAGCTCCCCGTTTCGACCCGCGGCTGCCACCAGGTATGGACTGAGCGAGCGCGTAAATGACTTAATTAATGAAATAATTACTTCATCGACGTCAACGAGGCTATCGCTTCTAGAAGAGACGAAGCTTTCCGTTTCAAGATTTATATTCATGAAGTATTGTGGTTTTGTTAAACCTTAAACTAACAAAATATAAACGCAGGAAATAATTATACCATTAATAATAATAGTAAATCGAACTAAAATAATTTGGAATTATAATTTTGTCGAATACCCTCAGCAATGCTACACAGTAAAAACGGTCACCTCGGCTTCGTATCGGTCTTGCAGGAACACCGGCGGGCAGTCGTTGTAGTCCAGCAGGCGCACGACGAGCGTGCCGCGCGCGCTGCGGCGCTGCGGCGGGGGCGCCCCGTCGGCGGCCAGCAGCGCCAGGCGGTGCTCCGCGCGCCGCTCGCGGTCCAGCGCGCCCGCCGTGCTCACCCACCCGCTGTGCGGGTCCACGCGGAACAGCGCGGCGCTGCCCTCCGACTCTTCGGCCAGGATCGAGAACCGAACTTCGCCGTTGGATCCCGAGTCGGGATCGTCCGCCATCACTGCTCGAGGGAAGGGAACGGTTCGAAGATATGAATTTCTCGAGCCGCGAGGGAGAGAGCGTATCGATATTCGGGCGATCGGCACAGAGTGGGTCGGTACGTACGCTGCACGAGCGAGGTGTGCGGCGGCGCGGTCTCGGCCAGCAGCACGGTGTAGGGCTGCGAGTGGAAGGCGGGCGCGTGCGAGTTCACGTCGAGCACGAGCAGCCGCGTCTGCACCATGCGCGCCGGCGCCGGGCTGCCCGCGCCCTCCGCTATAACGCCTGCCGCGACATGCCATTTGTTGTAACGAGTGAGAAAGATCGAACAGTCTATCAGTGATAACAATATTGAAGCCTTCTGGAGTCGTATCGAAGATTAAGGTGAGCGTAAAAAAGATAATTTTAAACCTTTCGCCCTCCAACTGACTCGGGCCGACCAGTCAGTTGCACCAATTTCAATTAAAAATGTCATTAGTTTAAAGCGACATTACCCATACAAACTTTTACATATACAGAATGGAATTTCGTGCAACTGACCGAGTGTTATCGATAGTAGTAGACCGTGCGATGAACTTCATAAGTTTAGTGATTGATTATAATAGAAACTAAAAAAAAAATAGAACCTACTTCAAACTTAAAAAAAAGATAAATAATACTTATCCTAGAAGCTATTTAGCCAAAACCCCCTCCTTTTGGATTTCGAAGATGGTTATAAAGACTTTATAACGTATCAAAAATTTATATATTTTAACTGACTTATGCATTTCGAAAATATTTATTTCTATTTTTTACATAATTTACCTCTATAGTTTGGATGTATACTTGTATGATCTATTCGTTGATGATACTATTGTAGTTTTAATTTTATCCGTGATCGCTATTAATATTATATAACACTGCGTTTGCTTAAAAAAATAAAAAATAAATAACAGTGGTGAACCGCAAGAATTTATGAATCGAAACGTCGGGCGGTATAGTGAAATACGTGAAAACGGCGAACGAGGGAAACTCACCTATGATATGTTCGGCGGCCGTCTCCCTGTCCAGCTGGCCGGCGAGCACGAGTCGACCGGCGGCGTCGACGGCGAACAGGTCGCGCGGCCACAGTCCCGGAGCCAACCTGAACCGCGGCGCGGGCTCCTCCGCGGCGGGGTCCCGCAGCTCCGCGATCAGCGTGCCCGGCGCCGCGTCCTCGGGCAGGAACACGGCGGGCGGCGGCGCGTGCAGCCGCGGGACCGCGTCCCCCTCCCCCGGCCCCGTCACGTACACGGACACGGGCGCCTCCCCCGCCAGCCCGCCGCCGTCGCGCGCGCGCACCCACACCTGCACCGACCGCGACGCTGCACGCCGCCCCCGCGCCCCCGCGCCCGTTATAGCGATTCGCATTGCGACAACGATTCGACGACGAAAATTATGTAATTCCTTCCCTCGATCGATTTCAGATCAGGAAACGAGTGATGATTTTCGACCTCGATCGACCGCTCTCTATATTCATATTATTCATACGATCGTAAACATGGCTCCAGACTATGATGTAAAAAGACGGATGCCCGGCCCCGATTCACCTCATCGGGAGGCGTATGAATGTTTAAAAAAATATATATATATATATCTATCTATACTTATAATAAATCTGTAGAGAGGTCAATTCTGTACATGAAATATATTTCCAAAATAATCTATCATCAAATATAAATCTATCAGGGGGTGATTAGGGATCGATACTGATGCCAAAAATGCAATCAGTAAAATTTTTGTCTGTCTGTCTGTATCGTTATACAGCGTGTTTGGTAATACCTGTATAATCCCGAATATGGCACATACGGTATGATGAATAGAACCCAGAAAAATGATCACTAAGACTGAAACCCAGCACATGACCTAGATATTCAGCTTTTTTTCTTCGAAGTAAAACTGTACGCTGACAACCCTAAAAACAGCTGTTGTGTTGTATTTGGTCATCGACTCCATGTGCCGAACTAGTTTAAAAAATAACAGAAGTTAAATAAATCTAAAGATAAATGCCTAGAATAAATATGCATCTGAGAGGAATTTATTATTTCCAAACAAAGAAAAAGTTAGTAGTAAATGACTTTTAACTATAAAAAAACACTAATCTTGTGATTAACGGTGTTTCAAAAACTATTAATATGAAAACTTCTGTAATAATACAGTCAAAATAAAAAAGAAATTGCAAATACTTTGATTGAAGTTCAATATCTGCACCATTGCTCACATTAGTCTATGCAAGAAGGAGCGAGAGAGACATAAAATCGACGACGATGTGTATTGAGAAACTCGGGTTTCTGATGTGTCAGTAAGGTTCTGTAGATTATTTGCTTTGAAGTTTTGTTATTTTTTTCATAAAGCCGTGTTATTTTCACGAAACAATAAAATACGGACTTATACAATGATATTAATAATCTAAGTATCTCTCTTATTCTTAGTTTAAATGATAATTAAATAAAGGTTAGTTGTAATGGAAAGGTCTAATAATAAATAATATTTCTTGACGCGGAACCCCAAAATCGGTACACTTTTGATTTAGGTACATTGGTGTTCGAGTTGCAATAATAATAACCTATGTAGTTTTGGTCATCGCGTCAGTCGCGTCCGTGACTTTCATCGGCGTACTTGTGAGTTTTCAGAATTTAGAAGGTCAACTTACGTTTTCGTTCTTTCGGGACTTTTGGTTTGTTTTTCATTCTCGTTCTGTTTACCTGTGTATTATGTTTGTGTGCGGTCAGTGCAATGAATTCGTACTCAAATGCCTAATATTACGAGATGATAATGTGTGGCGGTGCTTGTGACGGTAATCTTGCTGCGGCTCGGCGGCGTTATGACGAGCGCCACGTGTCAGGAAGACCTGAAAACCATCGACGTCTTCCTTCTTACCGGTGATTCGCGGCATTTGTGAATTGGTTACATACAACTGGTTCATTCCATAGTGTGCCACAGGTAGGCCGGCCGATCACCTATTCCATCGAGACAGAGGATATGACTTTACGTCGAGAGTAACACGACACGGTCTGTGTCGAGTCGAATGGAGATGTGTGTTTTATGCGGTGGCCGGCATATCGAGACCCTGGACTGATAAAGTGGAGGTGAAGTGTAGGTAATGTTGACAAGTGAAAGCTGAAAGAGATTAGAACGCTATAGGTATGTACCTATTTAATCTTAAATTGTTTTAATTACAAGTAAACTCATACGTAGTCGAGTGCGCGCGTCGGCAACATCAAAATGTATTCAAGGAAACGAGAGAGTGAGAGGTAATGAGAGAGAGAGAGAGAGAAAGAGCGAGTGCGCCGGGACGGCACGTGTAAGCTTACAGGGTTGTAGCATAGTAATTGAAAACAAATTGTTCAAATATTTGTATGAAAATATCAATTTACATGAAATTGTTTTTTGACCTATCAATTGTGTTCTTTGTGCTAGGTTGTATGGCCATGTTTCGGGATTATACAGGTATTACCAAACACGCTGTAGAAACAAAAACTACTCGTCGGATTTTAACGAAACTTGGTACAATTATTTTTCATACTCCTGAGCTGGTTATAGTATACTTTTCATCACGCTACAATCAATAGGAGCAGAGCAGTGAAGGGAAATGTTGGGAAAACGGGAGACGAGCGGTTGGCGCACCTAACGAGGCTGCAACTCTCTAGCCAAAAGAGCCGTTAAGACTGGTACATTCGCACACTACGGTTTATCTATACTAATATTATAAAGCTGAAGAGTTTGTTTCTTTTTTTGTTTGAACGCGCTAATCTCAGGAACTACTGGTTCGAATTATACTATTTATCGAGGAAAGCTTTATAATATCACACTGCAACTATTAGGAACGAAGAAATAATGGAAAATGCGGACGAAGTCGCTGGCGGCCACTAGTATTATAATAAAATGAATAAGCGCGTTAGATTAAATCGAAACATAAAAATAATTCTCATTAAATTTATATTATAGAAACATTTCGACGTCCCGATGAGGTGTCGTCAACGAGAACTACTCACCGAAGGCGGAGGCGTCGCGGGCGAACGAGAGGGCGCCGGTGTGCGCGTCGACGGCGAAGAGGCCGGCGGCGTCGGAGCGGCCGTCGCCCTCGTAGATGGAGTAGTGCACGCGCGCGTTGTCGCCGGCGTCGGCGTCGTGCGCGGTCAGCGTGAGGAAGGGCGCCCGGGGCGCGCGGTCGTGCGGCGCGGTGGCGCGGTACTCGCGGTGCGGGAACTGGGGCGCGTTGTCGTTGAGGTCGGCCACGCGCACGCGCACGGTCGTGTGCCGCAAGAGGCCGCCGCCGTCGCTGGCCGTCACCGGCACCTCCCACTCGGCGCGCGCCTCGCGGTCCAGCGGCACGCGCGTCGTGAGCGCGCCGCTCGACGCGTCTATCGCGAACGTCTCGCGGAGCTTCGCCGAAGGTATCGAGTACGTTATCGTGCCGTATTCGCCGGGGTCGTCGTCGTAAGCTTTCACCTGGGGACGCACGTTAGCGGTTCAGTGTACACACCTAAACGGTTTATACCGCACATTAAGCATATTACCGCGTCAGCATTTACGTATTCATTCACATTTTCTATAGATCAACAGTGAAATCAAGGCATTGTCGCGAGCATCAAGTATCGAGTATTTCAATTGATAATAAATCAATATTAAAATCAACAAGGATTCTTATTTATCAATTTAATCAGTTAGTTCGTGGATCAAGCAAAGTACGCGAACACGGCCGATCGTCTCCGTTTAGATATGTACACTGAACTAAAAATATTCAACATAGGGAAAGTTTTAAAAAATGAAGATTTTGTATATTTGCTCGACATATTTTTTTTTTACACATTATAAAGAAAAAATTCCTCATCATTAGAAAGCTACTTCTTCACTGAGCGATAAAAAGGAACTTCCCACGGGATTAGGATGTAAGCGAGTGAACCCGCCGGGATTAACTAGTTACTTATATTTAAAGCAACACATTAAAAAAATTTACGTAAAAAACGGAGAAGAAAACTACTACAATGTGAAAATCAATTCAAATATGTAACACTATCTATTGTTGAAAATCGCATGAAAATCCGTCCAGTACGTTTCGAGTTTATCGCGAAGAGACAAACTTTGTTTTAAAATATGTAGTGATTACGCTAAATTGGTTTTTATAATGAGTAGAGATCAATGCATGTACGTGTTCCATCCAAAGATCGAAATCGCTGATTGAGCGAAAATATCGAAATTAACACAGTAAAATATCGAAATTAAAAGCGAAATCCATGTAGTTGCTCCATGTACAGTACAGAACGCGTCGGGGCTTTTCTTCACTGCCACAACGCTCTGAGGTATAGGTATATGTACATATCGTACACAATATTAAATAAAGCGTGAACCGATATATTATTATATATTATTAGGTCGTGTTCGTTTCGGGAGGTTTCTAGGCAACTTTTCCTTCGAACATATCTTAGAACAGAGAGAGAATAAAACGCGAACCGATTCTGGAAGCGAATCACTCACGGTGGTCAGGAGGAGGGGCGGCGGTTGATTCTCGAGCGCGCGGGCTTCGTGCACGAGGTGGGGGAAGTGCGGCGGCGAGCGGTTGGCGGGCGCCAGCGACAGCTTCACGCGCGCGAACGCCGCGTGCGCCCCGTCCGACACGGACACGTTCAGCGACCGCGGGGCGCCGCCCATCTGCGGAACGATATCGCTCTCTTTCAGTGACATCGAAACTTAAGATTATTCGCATCGGTGGACCGACGGCGCTAAAGTCGAAAGACAGATCGAAAAGCGGCAGAGCGGTACCTGGGCCCAGGCGCGCGTGTTGGCGAGCGAGAGCACGCCGGTGGTGGGGTGCACGGCGAAGGCGTGGTGCGGCGGCGCGGCGGCGGCCAGCGCGTACCGCAGCCGCGCCGCGTCCGCCGCGTCCGCGTCCCACGCCGCCACGCGCGCCACCGCCGTCCCGCGCGCCGCCTCCGCCGACACTAGCGCCGCCACCACGGCGCGCTCCATGCGCGGCGGGTTATCGTTCACGTCCTCCACTGAGATGAAGAGATGAGCTGTGGTGAGGAGCGCGGGGCGGCCGCGGTCGGTGGCGGTGACGAGCAGGTGGTAGGAGGCGCGGCGCTCGCGGTCCAGCGGCGCCGCCACGCGCACGTCGCCCGAACGCGCGTCCACGCTGAACTCCGCCGTCGGCGCCGCGCTCGCCTCCGGGCCGTACCCGCTCAGCGAGTACTCGATTTCGCCGTTGACGCCTGTCGATCGTGTTTCGGGGGCGGGTTAAAAGAAGATCGTTAGAAGAAGTCGTCGTCATCTCACAGTCGACGAGAACGTCGAGGCCGTCGCCTGGCCCCCGGGCGAGTACCTGTGTCGTTGTCGGTGGCGCGCACGGCGACGACCAGTTCCCCGACGGCGGCGGCCTCGGAAACGGAGGCGCGGTACACGTCCCTCTCGAGCTCGGGCGCGCAGTCGTTCACGTCCCGCACCCGCAGCGTGACCGCCGCGTCCGCGAAGGCGCCGGTCACGCCGTCCGTGGCCCGCACCACCAGCTCGTGCGTCTGCGCAGTCTCGTAGTCGAGCGGCGCTCGGGCGATCAGTACACCTGAAATCGTTCACGCGCTCGTCCGACAGAATCCCGAGCGCACACCCGGTCGACGACGCCTCCGGGTCGTCGAAGGTGTGTGGCGATGGAGTTGCGAGGACGCATATAGTCGCATATATTTAAAAAAAAGAAACATATGTCACGAGACCGAGATCCCGCAGTATAGAATAGATGCGATCGCAGACTAATTGGCGTCCTGCAACTGAGCGATATGGGACAAGCATGAACACGGCAAAAGAAAAGCTGCGAAATGGTCTTTCGATGTCGAGATCTGTTCGAACGAGAAGAATTTTTCTTGAACGGTGCATCAATAGTGCTGTGATTTAATTATGCGCTATGATCGTAATGGTGTAAATAGCACGTATACCGGCGAGTGATGTGTTCGTTGACAGTGTACGATTAGAGGTGAAATCTCGTATGAGAAAATTTCGTTATTTGTTTCAAAATGACTAAAGCTATTACAGCGATGGTATTCACGTCGACGCTCAGAACGTTATCACACTTCGGTCGTCGAGATAGTGGACGGAGTCTCGGTCGTGCGGAAGGCATGCAATTAAGTGACCCATGCATAAGCGCAACACAACGAAAGCACGAGGGTGTTCGCAGCGGTCACCCATCAGACGCCGCGCCGAGCGCAAATACTCACATGGATTATTGCCTCTGTCGGGTGCTGCGGGACAAAACCGACGTGTTAGTAAGGCGACATACACGCGGCGCAGACCAGCCTCGTACGTTATAACTCGGTCACATCGATACGTCCGTTATATCATTCGAGACGGGTCGGCGACGCTCCGCAACCTTAGATTCCGATTTTTCTCTCCAAATTACGTTAATAAAAAACCCACTGAAGTTATCATTAAAATAAGTGATTTAAAATCTGACACCCGAATGCCACCCGACAACGTGCTCGATCTATCTCATACGGGGCTCTCCGCCCGACAAAAGTGCGTGCGACAGACCTGCATCGAAGTGTATCTCGAACAAGTCGGAGGCGTCGTCGTCGTCGACGAGCGTGTAGATCAGCTGACGGTTGAGCGGGCTCAGCGCGCGCAGAGGCGGCGCGAGGGGGCGGCCGGGTGGAATGTCTTCGCGAGCATCTGAAAGATCGACGCTCATTTCGATATGCGCCACTATAGTGCTAAAGTGAATTTTCATTATAGATTAAGTAAAGGAATCGAAGAATAAACGTTAAATGTCGTTTCTTTGTTTTTTCAGGTAGGTTATATAGGTACAATTAGGTAGTTTTATTTTGTATTGAAGTATAAAAAATATCAAAATAAATCTTTGTTTTTTCAGAGCAACACATTGGTTTAATTTCTAGATTTCAAAATTTTAATAGAATATCACCTTTGTCTTATAAAACGACATTTATAGTAATATAACATAAAACATGGAAAAATTAAGATTCACATTCGAAGTATTAGCAGCATCAGATGGAAAAAGTAATGTAATCTGCATAACCTCAATTGGACCATGATACAGCGCAGGTTTTAGAATTTGACATTAAACAAAAAACAGTAATTCCTGATTCTGTCTTTACTTTCAAGAAATGCTATTCGCAAGAAAACATTAATAACTTTAAGAAGCATTTAAGTAGTTTATCTTTTACTAACGTATTTAAGCAAAATGATATAAACACCGCTTTTAATGAGTTCCATGAATTCTTGGTTCTGCTATATAACTTGTGCTTCCCAGAAATAAAAATTAGAAACAAAGGACCCCGCCCTTGCCTTATGGAAATTGGCTTTCTGTCAAATCGGATGAAACTATGATGAATGGATAGAGGAAGTCTTCCTGAGTAAAAGTCCTCATGGGCACTAAGCCCGAAAATCGAAACTTTTAGTACTTTTGGGCATTCAAAGTTTTTGATTTTGGATTCTAGCAAAATCAATAAATCCTTGTAGAATCGGCCCAAAGTTCAATTAGACATAAAAGAAAAAATACGTATCGAATATTTTTTCAAGACCTTTCGAACGACACCCTATTTGACCCCCCCCCCACTCCCCCACCTACGGGGGTGGAAGGGGAGCGGTTTTTTGCGAAAAAGTTCTTTTATAATGTTATAATGGCCTCATGATTGACGGAACACTTGAGCCGTGCCCGATTGACCCCCCACCTACTCACCCACCCACCACACGCGGGGGCGGAGGAAAGAGCTGTTTTTCGCGAAAAAGTTCTTTAAAAGCGTGTTCATGGCCTTTTGAATGACAAACACTCGAGCCATGCTTTTTGTTGGCCCTACAAGGATTTATTGATTTTGCTAGAATCCAAAATCAAAAACTTCGAATGCCCAAAAGTACTAAAAGTTTCGATTTTCGGGCTTAGTGCCCATGAGGACTTTTACTCAGGAAGACTTCCTCTATCCATTCATCATAGTTTCATCCGATTTGACAGAAAGCCAATTTACATAAGGCAAGGGCGGGGTCCTTTTCCACAAAGCTTCAATGGTTTTCCAAAGGTCTTAAAATAAGTAGTTTAACAAAGAGAATGCTTCGTTTTAAATATTACTCTAATAAAACAAATAAAAATAGATCAAAGTATTTAAAATATAATAGAACTTTAAGAAAATGTATAAATTGTTCAAAAAGGCTTGCAAATCAAAGATATGTCTCTAAAAGTAATAATATCTGTAAGGCAACTTGGAATGTCATACAAAATGAGACTGTTGGTGAACGTTTTAAAAATAATTATATAAATAGATTGGTGTATAATGACGAAGAGGTTATAGACCCAATAGGGGATCGGACAACTTTCGAGAAAGTGTTTTAAATGAATCTTTATGGATGATTATCGCTACAAAAAATATTTTTTTAATTAATTAAATCTTCATAATATCTTAAAACTATGTTTTAATTTGGATTATTTGAAAATACCGCGCAATCACTACCTTATGTCAAATCGGAACGCGTGACGTCATTTGTGGGGTAAACAAAGGAGATTTTTCAGTAAACAACGTGTATCGACGTGAGTTGATGTGAATTTAAGAAATATGGATAGAAAAACATATCGCTGGTGTGTAGTACCTCAATGTGGAAATACATCTGTAATTACTCCAAACAAATTGTTCATTGATGTACCCCGAAAATCAGATATACGAAAAAAATGGTTAGACTTGGCAAGAAGAAACAGCGACGGAATGTCTGTAACGTCACCGATTTACTTTTGCGAAGATCATTTTGATGTTAGTATATAATAAATTGAAAAGCGTGTTAATTCATAATGTTTGTATACTAAAATGTTAAACTTCTATTTCTACCTTTTTTTAGTTGCCAAATGATATGGATAATTACATGAAATATCGTATAATGGGCGGTGTAAACAGAGTAATTATGAAACCTGGATGTCTTCCAAGGAAATTCGATTGTCAAACTGATAGAAAACGACGGTGCCCATCAACTATAACCTCTCGCTCTGCTGCTATCAAAAGGCAAAGATTAGTAACAATACAGGAGGCTCTTGAAGAGAGCAACTTGAAGAGTAATCCTGAAGAAGAAGAAGAAACAAGTTTACCTCTTAGTAAGTATTTAAATTTGGTTTTATTTAGTTAATCCAGAAACTTTCATAGACCATAATTTTAATGATCTGTACTTTTGTTTTAGATATACAAACTGAAATTATAGCACAAGAACAACCAAATAAGCAAGATAAAGCTGTACAAGTTATTATGAAAAGTAAATACTTTAGAAGCAAATTTACGCAAACAGATTATAAATCTCAGAACATTGCAACATCGCCATCTAAAACTTGGACAACAACTGTTTCAACATCCCCTTTCAAAGTAGAAGAACATGTAAAGCTTGCCATACCAAGTGTTTCTAATGCAAATTTAAAATTAAGTATGGAGAAATCTGATAGTAATATGTCACTGTACAGTCAGTCAACATCCTCATATCAGCTGTCATCACCTTCAGTCCAATCATTACAGTTTAAGTTACTATCTGATAGTAGCAGCATGAATGAAGAAGAAGGAAAAATTGAAAAGGAAATAGAAGCAGAACATGCTTTGAATCATATGCGAGGAAAAATTATGGCCAAAGCCCGTTTATATATTGGGATAACTAATGATTGTTATTTTTTGGTTGATTTATTACATTCTAACACCAATATACCGACTGATCACATTTTGTTATGTTTAAAAAAAATTAGGATGAATACAACATTCACTGAACTGGGTGATCAATTCAAAATGTCTGCATCATATGCTGGCAAGATATTTAAAAAAAATGTTCCAATAATTGCAAACATTCTGAAACCTTTTATTGTAAATTTAGAAAAAAATAAAATTAAGAGATCCCTTCCAATTGCATTTAGGCATAGGTATAATAAAGTGAGCTGCATTATAGACTGCTTTGAAATTGAAATAGAGAGACCATCAAAATCTGTTCACCAAGCACTTACATGGTCCGAGTATAAAAAAGGAAATACATTAAAATATTTAGTTTCTAGTATTCCCAATGGCTTGATTAATTATATATCATCAGGGTATGGAGGCCGAACAAGTGACTCATTACTTGTAGAAACTTGTGGATTTCTAAACCAGCTAGAACCTGGGAGTTGGGTGTTAGCTGACCGTGGATTCAAACACATTGAACAACTATTAGTTAAAAGGAATTGTCACCTGTTGAGACCTCCTAGTGTGGCTCAAGGTGCAAAACTGAATAAACAAGAAGCTCTTAAGACTAAACAGATTGCAAGTTTGAGGATCCACATAGAAAGAGTCATCCGAAGAATCAGAGAGTTTTCAATGTTAAAACCCCATTCTGTTTTAAACTCTAAGTTAGTAGGTGTGCTAGATCATTGCACAATTATAGCATGTGCTCTTATTAACTTGCAGGGCAGAATTGTTTATTAATTACTTAAATATCAATAAATAAAACTATTTAATAATTATAATTAGCTTTATTTTGTGCTCTCATATAAAATAGGATATATATTTCTTTTCCAAAACATATGCATAGTTGAAATATAATGTTTAACCAAAGTTTCTTCATAATCAACTAACAATATATTTACATTATTTGTAACTTCAAAGTTCCAGTCGGCAACACAAAAATAACATTTTTTCAAATTTGTCAAATACATTTGCATTTGCATTTGGGCCATACATTTTGCAACAATTTTATTATTTTTAATATAATTTTCATAAGTTTTCTCAGTGGTAGGACATTTTATTTCAACACAGAATTTTTTGTCATATATTCCATCAGGCGATCCAGCTAAGAAAGGACTCTGTGAGGAAATGAATAACCCACATTCTTTTATTTTTCTCCCAAGAGTCTTTTCCACTATCATTCTGACTTTTGATTCCAGTTCCCGACCTCTCCTCATTGCTTTTGTGTCTGGAGTTTTGGCTCCCATGATCATGGCCACTAATGAGCCATCTGTAGTGTGGCATTTGCTTACTTCGTAAGCTTTTGAGGCTGTAATTCGCCCATATCTTAGTTCATGCCACAGTTTACATTTATACTGTGTACGAGTATTCTCTTCCACTATTTTTAAATTTTTATCTGAGAAATATTGTGATATTTTTTGCAAAAATGAATCACAATCCCCCTCATCACAATGTTCCATTATTAAATAATGAAGTGATAACTTATCACAATTATTAACAGTATTTTCATAAAAGTTTAATAACTCACAGCTAGTTATTTTTTTGTTTCTTGCTTGTTGTAAAAACTGGGTGAGAAGATTTGGTTGAGTATTCTGTGTTGGATTTTGTTTGCTACCAGATAGATCTCTGGTAGTGATGTACTTAATATTTGTACCAACTTGAGCCAATTTGGACTTTTTCCAATAACACTCTATTTCAGTACTAGATGGCTCTTCACTTCTTCTGTGAACCCACATTAGGAAAGCTACTGCGTGTTTACAGCCTCCTGTTGATGCAGGGCAATCGTGACATTGAACACTTTTAATTTTTTCTTCTTTTTCGTCTATTATCATTGTCGCTGCATATGCTTTTGTACGAACTTTGTGTTCTGGGCAAACCTTACATTTAACTGTACAAATGCCAGAATTACGACAAAGTTGTACGTATCCAATGGCATCATCTCCGTAACTTTGTCTCGCTGATCTGAAAAGAGTCGAAAACAAATATTAACTCTAACAAAACTATGTACGTAAAATTTTCATTTGCAGTTTCACTTGTTAGGTTATTTTATTATCCTAATAATTTAACAGGTTTTAGGTAGACAAAGTCTCAATAGCTGTAATACGTACACTGATGTTTTCACATTTCTGAATTCGGCAGCACAAAAGTCCGGATTAGACGAAAAAAACATTCCAATCATTAAAATGTCCACTCTAGGAAGATTTCGGTTGTCGGCTTTCAAATAACCTGGTTCCATGGTAAGAACTTAAGTCAATCCCTTGCGGCAGTTTTTATAATTATTTGTCTTCACTGTTTCAAAATTATTGAATCGTAATTCTAGTAAATAACTTAAAACACACACGGCACAGTATTGTTTACATTGACATTACCCACAAATGACGTCACGTGCTGTGATTGGTGTTCCCTTTGATGTATGATACAGACTACAATTATTGAAATAAATATAATTTTATTTCTTGACTTAAAAATATAAATACTAACTTTTTATCAATAATATTCTACAGATAGTCTTTAATTTTTGTAAACTTTTTAACCTAATACATAGA